GCCCTTCGAGTCCGCTCACTCAAACATTGTTAAGCGGCCAATTGCGAGGACTTGCTATACTTATGCGCTGCGGAGGTATTGTTATCCCAAAATCCAACATAGCTGTGACAGGAAAACTGAACACCTCTCAGTTCCTGGATTCCCCTCCCACGTGTTAACAGCGGTCGCCGAGTCTCTGCTCAAAGATATCAATGGCAGTGACAAGTGAAGAAGAGGTCAACAGATGAAAGGGAAAGAAGGAAGTTCGTTCTCATTTCCTTTATTCACGGCTTGGCCCACAACCTAAAACGCATTGCGGGCAGGTGCAAAGTCGACGTTTTATTCTCCGGACAAGTTGTCCAGGTTGTGCGGAGCTGTTAACCCCTCTTCGAAAGAGGCTTGCAACATGAGGCATCGGGATCGCTTCGTCGCGTGTTCTGAGGGGGTGGTTTATTCTCTCCCTCTAACGTGTGGCAAGCACCAGACGCTGTCTCAATCACAGGTTATGAGAGCGCGCTTACAGTGTCTCCCCAACCATGTCTGGTCATGTGGGCCTTCATTGCCGCGACTGTGGTTGCGTATCCGACTTTGAACGGTGTGAGGTTGTTAAGCGCCGCAGGGACCAGCTTACTCGTGTAAAATCTGGAGGCTGTTGAGATAGCGAGGTTAGACGCTGCACGTGTAAGCGGTCCATCTGTGGCCCTATCTGGCAAAGAATTTTTTAGTTCTCTGGCTTGTTTTTTTAACAAGTGCTCTGTACTGCTGTGAAATAGCGTCTTTTTATTTTTTTTTGTCGGTGATGGCATCCAGTGGGCAAAAGTCTTCCTTAAGTTTCTTTTCCTTTGTTCGTGAAAACGGAAATATATATTGCCATATTGCGGTCAATAAACTCATGTGTAAGTCAGCACTGCGTTCGTGTTACTACTTCGTCTAGTCCTCGTGTATTCGCGCTGTTTTTAACTCTTAGGTATTATTTCATACCAGAGTGTTTTGTTTATTTTTTTATTTTTTTACCTAGCATACGTTCACACCCAAATATTACTTGGGTATTTATTTATGTTTAATGGGAATCACCGCGAAATTAAATTGTGACTTTTAGAGAAATGGAAATAAATCAAAAATAAACTTCGGTAAACTCCGAATTTTTGGCTACAAATAAACGGCAAAAAACACCCTCCGAAGTTCAGGAAAAATAAACTCCGAAAATACAAAATCCTACCAGTAGCACATACAAGTCTATTTTCTTATTTTAAACCGATCCGTGAGGTTCAAATTTAGGCCTGGACCGTCTGGCGTGGAGTGACCCTATAGGCCAACGAGCCCCTTGCAAACAAGCCCCGACCAAGTGTGGGCACAGCCGCAGTTGCCGCACGAGGTGTTGGCACCACGCCAGCGCAGAAACCGGATTCGCGCGAAGTAGAGCTCTGCGTATGCGCCCTGTCATTACCTGGGGCGAGACGCCAAGGTCGCGAGTTAGGGTACACAAATTAAAGTGCAACTTAGATATGCACCAACTTTTTTAGTAAAACAGTCCGTTTATGGAGGGGGGGGGGAGTGGGGTGCGATTTATATTTTATATTTTCTCTGAAAACGACCGTTTAAAGGGGGTGCTACTTCTATAAAGTTGCGACATATACACGACAACAACTGCCACTTCATTTTAAAAGAAAGAGTGACCACTTATCCAATTATATATTGGCTTAAGAGTGCAGTTACGAAAACGGGTTATTTTTTAGTTTTTACAGACATTAAAATTGAGAAGTGTTCTGTAAAGGATTAGGTAATCGCAGCCCCACATCTTGTCTGCCTCGTCTGTGTACGGTCTTAATTGCAGTTACCGGGTACAGGGGAACGCTTGTCATGAGACGCTATCAGAGCATTCGGCACGGCAAGGCTAGAATGTAGTTATTGGGACAGTCTGCAGTTCCACACACTAAACATCGTAGCACCCATAATCATCTAAGAATGGTGTAAGCAAGGTGTAAGTTAAGAAAATCACCCTTTTTACACCATTTTTACATGATTTCTGAATAACGGGGCGTGTAAAAAGGGTGTGCTGATGTTTTACTTCCCTTACACGCCCTTTTTACGCCCCACTTATAGCGATAGTGTCTGAAATCGTGTAAAAAGGCTGTAAGGGCGAATTTGACGCCCTTCATCTACACGGTGGAAAAGGGGCGTAATGGCGATGCTCTCGAATACACCCATGATTTCACAGCCGTTCACGTTTATTGCTTTGATGAAACTATTGCTGATGTACGGTGGTACAAACATCGAGTGTAATTAATCACCACACGAAGTCGCGTATAATTCGGAAGTGCTAGAGAATAGTTTTTGCAACTCCGATTGAAATCTCCGTCCGACAAGAGCCGCAAATTACGTGTCGACTGTGCATCAATTTCATCAGTTCAACTTTGATTTTAAAAATAAAAGCATCTTCGCTCGCAAAAAACTGAAATACGACATTTAAATATAGAATCCAGGCAGTAGATAGCAGAAAGTATAAAACAGAGAGAGGACGAAACACAGAAGAGTTCATCCTCTCTCTGTTTTATACTTTCTGTTATCTAGTACATCTTAGCAACACGCTCGTTAGGAATATTGTAATACAGGCAGTACGCAGTATTGCGCCGATATGGAATCAAATCGGAAGGATTGTTTCGATACCATTTTGGTCCAGCCAATATCTGCGAAAGATGGCATGGGCCCCGCAGGCGCCATCCTGACGCATGAGTGTCAAGAATGTCCTGCGTGAATCTGCTCTGCCGGCGAGGTATTTTTATTTCCTGATTGCCTAAAATCCGATGTTAAAAAAAAAAAAAAAAACAAGATTAAGCAAACCGAAATATGTTTAGTTTTAACTTGATAAATACCTTCTGCGCTGAAGCCTTGAACAAACTGTGGCGCCCTAATTTCGGGCATTACAAACCCACCTGACTGGGCCTCGCACTACATTTGGCACCTTCACTGAGATATTATTATTGTGTGTAGCTATGAAGAAACGAGGTCGCAAGACAATCGAATTTTCCGGATTCATGAGAACACAGCTAGGGTACGCAACTCTTATCTCTGGGTGGCGACACCAAAATATCTAGCCTCCCGACGTTTTTTTTGTTTTTTTTTCTCGGTTCTTCTTTTGGTACGCGTGAAACCGCGTCTCTTATTGTTCATGCTCTCAGCGTCTTCGTTGCGACCTGTACTTCGACGGCGCTTAAATTTGTTTTTTGTATTTATTTTGTGATCTCGCGGTTCGCACCAGAGCACATGTGTGGCAGTTTGAGACGCTCAATGTTGAACTACGCAAAGCAAGTCCTTACGAGTCTGATTTCGCGACCTCCCCATGGGCAGTGCAGGTGGCAATACAAAGAAGCGTAGGGAGGTTAGCTGCTTTGTCCAACCCCCTTTGACCTGGTCCTCCTATAAGCCTCCACACCTTATTTTGAGTCTTCGTGTGACTGTGAGCGAGTGCGAGTGCCGCTTGTAGCAAATCAGAGGGGTGGTGCGAAACCCGTGACTGCTCTCCGTAGGACAAAAACGCTTGGACAAAACTTTGTCACGTAACTCGCTCTAACGCGCTGATGGGCTAGTGGGGTGATGGGCTAGTGGGTAGTCTTTCCCGTATGCCAAGCTATGGTGAGTTGTGGGCAACGTAGGTCCGGTTTCTAAAAAGCGTCGGTCAGTGTTCTCCTTTTTTTCGTGCGTTGCAGTCGCGGCCGTGAGTTTTCGTCGTGAACGGCCAGAATACATCCATGCCAACTTTTCGGTATTGGTCGTTTATTTTGTTCGAGTCCATGGAATTATTGTGCTGTGCTTGTTCGACGCGTTTCGACAAAGAGCTGCTCATCGGCGGCCGCGAGGCTTCCGTTGATTGTGAACGACCGCCTTCATCCTCAGCATTCTGTTTGTGGATTGTTCTGTGCCGCCCGAATCGGATTATCCATCTATCACGGATTACATGAGACCGCAGTTTTATTTGTAAGTACTCTGCAAGCATGCTTGCGATAGTAGTCCTGCTTCCGTCTCAATAGACCATTTTACTGTTTACAAGCGTGAACTGCCGCTTGCGTCCCAAGCAACTCTCGTTTGTTCCGTGTGTGCAAGCCTGTCAGTTTGGCTTACGTCACCAGTGTTAGAAAGGATAAATGCCACAAGAAAAGTAAAGATGGAGATTTAACTAGGGCCTTCGGTTGTAGAATTTAAAGGGGTTATGAAACGATATCCGGTTGGAATGCTCATGACCTTACACGCACGGACGCGCGCCACTGGTTCAGAAGTATCTTGGTCGTGGTGAAGTTGCGAGGATAAAAGGGAACTATTTCTTTCAGTCTCGCCTACGCCAAGTTTCATGACGTGCGCGTGAACTTAGGTTTTCCCTTTGACAAGCTTGTAATTGCACGCACTTGGCCGCACAAACAAATTCATGACTGCGGCCAAATTACCTGCTTGCAATCGTATATAAAGATTTTAGTAAAACCTGAAAGAACCTTGATTGAAAAACAAAAAGTGAACCAGCATGTTTCACCTCATTTGCGCACATTCCTTCGTGCACTCTTTTGGGTTATTACACCCTATTTTATGGGCGTCGGTCATCGCGCCTCTTTTTTACTTTCATTTCTGGCGGTGGTACACCTAACCTAAAGGGCGTACTGCGCAGTCGTAACACCCTAATAAAAAGGTGTACAGTGGAATAACGCCGTCCTCTAGGGGTGTTAGGAATAATGCCCTTTTCTTAGGGTGTTTTGCTAAACCATTAAGGGTGTTAGTTATAGGACAAGCCATTTACACCAACAACGGTGTCATGATGCTTAGTGTGCATGATGGACTGGTAGGGTGTTCTGGTAGTGCCCGAGAACACGCGCACTTATGTTCCCGCTAACGGTTATTGACATTAACATACCTCATGAACAGTTCGACTTTTATAAACACACGTAATTCAATGTCAAATCCCGGAACTCAACGGAGGCACTCGAAACTTAATCCTTGTTTTGGAGAAAAAGGATATGGAGTAAATGTATACATACCAGTAGCAATGAGCAGCAGTTAAAACAAACTGGCGGCTTATTAGAACGCCACCACAAACGAATTTGTCGTCTGCAGTATACAGCGCCACCATCCACGGCCAAAAGCCCGGAGTCGCCTCGGTACCATTAATAATTCGCTCAGAAACGGTATCCGGCACTCCTCGTCGTCCACATATCTTCTTTAAATCATCTTTCTCGTTGTCTGTGTGTCTGGAGTATACACCTGCTGTAAATGGCAAGTAGAAGATAAGCGTGTTTATATGAGGAGATCAAAGCGGTTTCAATTATTATTAATATTACTTAAAAATAGTTTGTAAAAGTTTGTTGGGCTGAGGTGGATCACTTCACTTACACTGCTTGCAAAGAAATTCAGCTGTACAGGAATAATCAAATGATTCAACGTCGACTAAACGAAATAATTCCGAACAATATCACGAGACTCACCCAAAAGGTTGACATCCCTTTCTTGAGAACTATAGTCACATTTTGATGAAGTGCTTCCTGTTACATATATTTATATTATAAAATTTACGTATCTAGGTGCGGTTTGCAGAGATATAACAAATAAGCAAAGATAAAAGCGATAAATCATGAATCAGATTATTTTCTTCAGAAAAATCTTAAGCAAGTTACAGGTTTCTGAAATAAACGAAGAACAAATTACAGTAGAGAAAGATTTTGGTCGCGGTGTCACCATTAATTATTATCTCATAGCAGAACATTTTAAAAAGCCCCTGAAAAGAAAGAAACAAATTAACAGATTGGAGGAGACACGCGAGTCAAAAAATTATTTTACGCGAAAAAAGATATTTTAGAGTAATATTGACGGCGCTAGGTGCGGTTGTGTCGGCAGTCACCTCCTTTCCACTTTTTTTTTCTCGCGGCATTTGGGGCACGTGGAGGAGAGGTGGATCGGCTTCGCCTTCATGACCGAGATGGTCATTCCGGAATTACCCGTGACGTCATGGACTTCGCGCGCAGAATTTCAAATAAATCATTCTCCGTCAATATGGCTCTAAAATAATTTTTTCATAAATTTTATTTGTTGTCACGCGTGTACGAACCAGACTGTTAAACATTTTCTTTTTCTTTTCAAAGGCCCTGTAGCCCTGTAAGGAAGTGTAGATGTGGACAAAAAGAGGTTGGTCACACTGTGTTATCAAGTGCGTATTCTATTCCTGAGACCTTTCTAAGTACGCTATTTTCTTCGTGGAAACATTACTTTGTAATACGTGCCCATCTAGGCACTCTAAATATATTTTCTTTTCATTTCAGCCTTTTGTTTTTAGAAGCCCCATAACAAAGGCCACAATAAATAAATGTGGTACAAATGAGCACACTGTTTCAGAGCTGTGATTCTGTTCAAATTAACGTAAGAGCGTTGTACGACTCACTTATGCCCGAGTCCCACTAGAGCGAAAAACAGAAACAAAAGAGAGCGACAAGTCTCAAACACAGATAGGATGCTAACGGTGGTACCTTTGGCAGGCGTTTAGTCGTTCGGTGCTCGCGAAGTAAGCACGAGTGAATGCAAGCCTTCCAAAGACACCCTCGCGTGCATGGTGCTCGTGTTTGAGCATAGCCACATCCATTCTACAAAGCCTGTCAAATAGCGAAAGACTCTAAATTGAGGCCTGTCATTGTTTGTTGCTCTGGTGAAACTCGGGCGTCACAAATCCGAGTTGGACAGGATACAAACTCGCAACGCATTTTGAGCTGCACTCAAATTACTTTCAATATGCATTGTCTTGAATAGAACACGAACCAATTTCGAGATGTAAACTAACTATTTTTGCAAATCGTTGACAAGCTGAGAAGCAAGTGATGAAGTTATATATATATTTTTTTTTAATATTAACGAAAATATGGTCCCTTCGCTTAGATCTTTCTGAGTAAAAATCTAATTCTGCGGTGATCCCTCTAGGAGCCCTTCACCACCTACACAAACGACTTCCCCTGGGAAACCTAGCTGCCATAAGTTTAGTTCACTTCCCACGGATCTCAATTATAAAACAGAATTAGAGAATGTAGGCGAAGAAGTCCTGGAATAATTATGAAATAATTAAAACTTGATGTAGGCATGGCACCTGCTGTCTCATTGTCTGTGGGCAGGCCCGCTTCATAAACCGTTCGGATATGATTGCACAGAGGAGTGGCTTCTATAACCCGAGAAACGCGCAAATCATTCTCAAGGTTGCCCCTCCTTTTAATTGTCTACGTGCTCAGTCGACCTCCGTGTTATCGCCAGAAAAAAATGCTTTATTTATATTGATACTACGGATAAAGTCATAAACGCAGAGCGTGTTTACGCGCAATTCTTCGGTGTTTGTGATTGACATTGCAGTTTCTTATTGCTTTGGTTATTTCATGTTATTTTATTTCACCTCTCGTTTTCATGTGGTTGTGGGCACGTCTTTTATTTTTCGCTTTTTAAAAATTTCAATGAACTGTTCGAATGTAGACGAAATACCACCGAAAGCCGGTGCTCGCGTTGAAACAGTTAGTACACACCACCGTAGTAGAGACAAAGTCGCCTAGCTTTGCGTCTATGGGAAGTCTAGGGCAGTGGTGAATACAGAAGCTCGCCTGCCCTCTCACAGTAATTTCGTAGAGATTAGTTTTTATACTTTTTTTAGAAATATGCATGGTCGTCAACGCAACAGCGTATTCATATAATTAACGATAAAATGGTAACGAGTAATTGGGTTAATATTTAAATTAACTACTGGTCCCACTTAAAATATAAAACAGGTTTGCCCAATGTCTTTGAATTTCAGATCACTTAATGATTAAAATAAGAACACTACATACCATTCCGTGATTTTCGCGCCTAACGGTATTGATGAGGGAAACATTACAAATATTATTTTTATATCTGACATTCCTCACTAATTTTACATGTATGTAGCAATTCAGTCGTTTTGTTCATCGCAGTATCTGTATACGAGAAGGAACTTTGCATTAAAATTAACGCTAACGGTTATCCGAGAAGTTGATGTCAGATTTTCGACTGATACTCAAACTGCACTTTCACTTAATGAGCAACGTGCAGAATATACGAATTAAAGCGAAGAAGGGGAAACTCATAACAAATATACGTTTAAAATTATGTCTTTCTGCGTTTGTATATAAATGTCGAAAGAATTTTTCTTTTTTTTTTAATTTTCTCCGCCTTTTTCTTTACTCTGTACTGCAGGTGGAGCAGGTGGAGGATCTCAGTACAGGATACACAAATGTGTATCCTGTAATTTCGCAGCTAAGCATTTGCTAGGCAGCCAACTTCAGGTCTGAGCGTACACATTTTATTGAACAACACGGAAGTTTGTTGCGAACTCAAATGTCGAAGGGCAAGCACAAGTATGAAAGGATCAACCCTTAGACCTTTTCGCTTTAATCTTAGTTCTGTGCTAAAACTACGCGTAATGTTTGTTTGTTTGTTTTTCTTTTCTTTTCAAAACCGCACATTTGCCGCAAACCTTGTCTTCCAGAACATCCGTCGTGCTCGAAGCAGATTTCTCATTCCGTAACGCCAGCGCTTCGATCTTCAGCGTCTAAATAAATCACGTACGGTAAATGGGGCGCGTCCTGCGCTTACTTTTTTGCGTGATTTGTTTGCGCCGGTGATTTCAAACAGACAAAAACAACGAGAGCCATGACAATGCACATTTGGCGCTGCACGCCTCGATCCATCGGGTCGTAGTGTTGGCTGGGTTGGGGCTAAATGTAAAATCTAGCAAAAGGTAATATTTTCAGTCTTGTGAGTTAGGGATTACCGGATAGCGATTGTACTTTGCATGTTGTAGATATTAGCAAGTGACTCATCGAAAGAGACCCTTGAATTATCGGCGGAACATTCTGAATCTTTCTGACTTTGGGGGAGGTTTAATTACTCAAAAAAATATTCTAGGTACATTTTGCTCAAAGTTTATGAACTAAGGCCCCCGGGCAATGATTTCTTACCTTTTCGCAATTCTAGATTCCGTTTATATTTTTGAGGAATTAGAGTGTTTTGGTCATTGATCGTGAGAGGTAATGTTTACTTACCGAAAAATGTGCTGACAAGAAGCATGACACCGAGTTGGTGTGAGCTCATATTCCCTACCCAAAAGACGATAACACGCCGCTTTCGTTTTTGGGTGTTTAAAGAAGGTTTTTTATTATATCTAAGCTATCGATGAATGAGAAAAACCTCTGGCTACAGTTACGTACAGTTATGCAGATACTAAAAGCCTCTCGCGAGTGGGCCTCTGTTTTTTTATAAGCTCTTGACATCTGGCACACGTCCGAGCGAGCGCTGACGTCAGGACTCGCCCATCCCGAGCAGATGGCAGGGAGCCTATCAACGCAAACTAGCGCTGACGTCTTCGACTATTGGCCGAAAGCGGGCTGGGCGTGTTCCAGGGCGTCTTCAGAAATTCGAATTTGACCAACCAGTAGCCGGAAATAATACACTGGCGGTGGTCGCGAGAAAGAAACCTGATAAGTCCATCAGAGTAATTCTCGGTGACTGAAAGTATGGTACACGTGATGTTTCAATCACCCTCATCCCAAATGATGGTGGAAGAGTGCGACTAGCGTTACGATCGACATAATCCTTACGCCAAGCGCCGAGGGCCGGGAATCTGCCGTCCGAGCGGTCACACTCTGTCCGAGCAAAACAGAGTTGTGCGGCGCATTCGTTTCTTACATCTTTCTGCATGATCATGATCGAAACATCACGTGCACCCTATTTTCAACCACGAACAGTTAAGATACTTTACTCTGACGCCCTTAATAAAACCGTTTAGGGACATATACCTTTGGATCAGAATTGTTTCTCGGTACCACCGCTAGAGGATTCTTTTCGGCTTCGGGTTGGTCATGAAAGCATGCCAAGCCCTCTTCGGTGTCAGGAGCATGCCCTGGCTCTGCCCACGCCTCCCATTGACCAAACTCAATTCTATACACTGCTCTGCCGCGACCCAGAGCCGTGTATTGAGAGAGTTTGGTCAATGGGAGGCGCGGGCAGAGTCAGGGCGTGCGGCAGAGTCGGAAAGAGGGCTTGGCATCCTCTCTTGACCAACCAGAAGCCGAAAAGAATCCCGTAGCGGTGGTAGCGGCAAACAGTTCTGATCAAAAGTCTATGTTCGTATATGGTTTTAATAAACGCGTAAGAGTGAAGTATAGTAACTCTTCGTGGTTGAAAATAGGGCGCACTTGTTGTTTTGATCATGATCATGCAGAAAGATGTAAGAAACGAATGCACCGCGCAACTCTGTTTTGCACGGACGTTCGGACGGCAGATTCCCGGCCGTGGGCGCTTGGCGTACGGATCATGTCGATCATTCCGCTAGTCGCACTCTTCCACCATCATTTTAAATGAACGTGATTGAAACATCACGTGTACCATATTTTCAGCCATTGAGAGTTACTCCAATGCAGTTCTCAGGTTTGTTTCTCGCGACCACCACCAGGGTATTATTTCCGGCTTCCGGTTGGTCACATTCGAATTTCTGAAGACGCCCTGGAACACGCCCAGCCCGCTTTCGGCCAATGGCGCCTCCTCATTTGTCTCCTATACTTCTCAACGAATGGCCAAACTCTCTACATTTACGGCTCTGCCGCGACCCACTGATCTCTGTGTCTATTTGCTAGATGTCGTTTAACTAGCTCCGCCTATGGACGAGAATGCCACCATGGTCGGTCATCTTTTTGGTAGAGTTATATTCTGTCTAGACATTATAGTAGTTTGGCGGACAGCGTTGTGGCTGCAGGGCGCCATACAAATAGCCGTGGTTCTTGTACACTATATGGCAGGAGATCGAACTATATGGGGCGCTCTGACCCGTTTGTTTTCCCCACGCCCGGTGTTTACTCAACGCAAGGCCTGTGCACATGCCGACAGGCCTTATGGGCATGTCCGTGTCATCTTCTACAATAGAGCGAGGGGCACAGTTTAATATAAAAAACGCTGAGAATCGCCTAAGCGACTTTAAGTGCCGGATCTATCAGAGAATGCCAGCTTGACCCACTTCGGCTTTTGTGCGGAGCTGAGACCGTGCATGCTGCATTGTTTATGCAGGCCGTAGTGGAAACAAAAGAGCCCCTCCTCCCCCTCACCGGAGAACACGAACTCCAGCCGAACGCTGACGCCGCGTTCAGTTATGTCGGCCGAGCGCTGAGTCATTGTATTTGTTGTCGCCATCCGTGTAGTTGTAAAGCTAAACGCTTGGGGCGTCACGGTCTGTCGTCCTCCCCAATACCGTGGTTGATATTTTGTGATTGATTAAAGTTGTTCGACGAAGCAGATTATTGAAACCCAGCGTCAACGGTAGCCTTATCTTTGAGGACCCGGCGAAGGTTTTACGAAAGCGCAGAACCGGAGGAAAGCAGCGGAGATAGCATCGAAAGCAGACGCCTTAACGGGAATAGGGCCCTCCGCGGTTCGACATTGTTGGCAGGTGGTGGTGTAATGTCGTTGGTGGTGAAGTGTTATGCTCCTGAACCCTTGAATACGGATCAAGAGACACCGTGGATGTGCTCGCGATCATTTGAGGAGTTCTCGCGACTGTATATATTCACCGGGGTCTCTCCGGAAACTTGTGTGCCGATGTGCCCGTGAGTGATTTTTATATTTTTAAACTATATATTCACCTGCGACGTTCTAAACAAAATTCATTTAAACAAAGGTAATTCTTCACGGCCCATTGATGACGGGGAACCCCTTTGCCGAAGGAGAACTATTGCCATAAGACATAAGAGGGGCCGGATATACGCAAAAGCGTGTGTGCTCCCCACCATCTCCCAAAGCGACTTTCGTTCCGAGCTGTGCAGGTTTTCCTCGGTGCAGTTATTTTGTGAAGCTTTCGCCAGGTCCTCAAAGATCAGGCTACCCTGCACGTTGGGTTTCAACATTATGTTTCGTTGAGCAATTTCAAATGAGCACGAAATATGACAAACGGCTATTTTAGTGGCTGGCTGCCACCACAACTGCCAGAACGCTGTCTGCCATAGATAGATGATAGTGGCTGTACCAGCTGTACCCTATCTAACGGGCGGTAGATTGCGCCACCCTAATCTTTTTTTCATCGCCTGTTCCTTTCTGACAATATACATTGTCGGCGACATTCACTTCACGGCGATGGGACGGAATCCGGCGTATTTTAGAGATTGTTTTGAAAAAAAGATGTTTTTTTTTCGGCATTAAAGCAATAAAGAAACGGAAATGTTTGTTCCATTCTTCACGGTGGACCCAACAGCTATGTTTTTAGAAGACCGGAAACATAGCCACGAATACTTTTTGAACTTCCCTCTACGGAAGTAATTGTCCAAGAACGTCGAACGACCCGCGTAGCGAGCTGCTTGACGCACGCTTTCTTCATTGGTTTGCCGCCCAATCCGAGCGGGCTACGAGACCTGGTATTTCCTGGTTCTCACAGCGGAAGATAATACAAAACGGGTAAGGATCCTTAACAGACAAATCGATGAAATCTTTCAAAAACGTTCGGCAAACTCCCAATGCACAATAAGTGGTTGGGAGTCGCGCTCACCAGGTTTCCACGGCTTAGAAGGGTGACATAAATTTCTGGCTGATAGGGGTCGTCCGGGTCGCAAAATGGGGCAGCCGCAAGGCTGTTTTTCTTTGAAGCACGTCGTGGCTCGAGCAACTTTAACGCCGATTGAAGCCGCGCACGAGAATTCTTTACTTCTAAAACGTCACAAATATGATGGGCTAAACTCGTGTACGTCTCTCTGTGGGGCAATGACGACAAAGATATCAGGGGTGCGTGGGAAGAACTGACGTTTGTGCGATTCGCCAACTAGTGAAGACTCTTTGGTTTTGGTTTCAATTTGGGTTTTGGCGTGACTGGCACGCATTTGCTACTGTTCCTCATACCGTATGAGTATGCGGTTGAGGTTGCTGAGTCGCGATCGCCGAGTATGAAAGCATATTGGCGAATCTTTTCCAACGTTTCATTTGATTTTAAATAAAAACCAACTCTTTGACTGAAGCGCTAGGAGAGCAAAACAATGTAATTTACATCGTGTAAAATTACCTCGAATTTTATTTCTCTTGTGACCGACACAGATATGCGACAACAATTTAAGAAATGCCGTGAATTTCATCAGCGCTGTACTGCATTGAGGTCATGAATGGGCGAACTCTTCTGTTGCTGAAAAATCAAACCGCCGGAGAGGTATACCAAAATATGAGCATGCACAGGCTACGGCGTGAATTCTATTTGGATCGCGTTCGGTTACCTCTAGGCCCACGAGGGAGGCGTCGGCGCACCTCAACTCGGAACGCGTACAGCGAGAGCTCTCCCAGCAGACACCAGGGATCCCAAGTGAAGTGTGGGACCTATTTGTAGTCATGCTAATTTGTACCTTTTAAGCTTTGCGTGTGGTGTGGTTCTTCTTTTTGTCTTGTGGGTTCCAATGTGAAGACCGGTGTGGTTGTTTTTTGGACACATTAAATAAAAAAAGTATTATTATTATTATTATTATTATTATTCTCACTCATCTACGTGAGTGACCTTGCTGCTGGTACATGGACATAGTGAAGGGTCCCGGTGCCCTCTGAATCACTTATGCGTGTTGCACATCACTTTCTTGGTTTGCTGGGACGACATTTGGCTGCCAAACATTGTGAAAATCCTATGGGGTGAAAAAAGGGCGAGCTTACAGAAGGCACCGACGATACGCAATACCGATGGTACCCGACTCACACGAAAAAGACGCCATGTTTGTTTTGCACGGAACTAGAAGACCTCGGATGAACTTAAACCAAGAAAGCCCGAAAGGACTACAGCACAGATGCTACACGTTTGGCTGAAACTGTCTAATATTGTGGTTAGATTTTAGAACTAGGGCTAAAATGACAATATTATATATACATTTTTTTATGCGTTAGGTTACGCCCAACACATTATTTTCGCTGAACTATATTCAGCGGCGTAGTAAACTGGCGTCATGCAGCTCTGTATCTTTAGTTTCAATGCAACATAAAATTGTCCGCGAGTATATACAGAGAGGCTGTGACATGCGCTGTGAAGCACAGAGCAGCAGGCAGTTATATCCGCCGTCGGAAATAATTACAGCGGGAATGTTATG